CACATTATTACAAATAAATTCATTTCTGGACATTTATGGTTTGATTTCTTTGTATGTATCGATCACTTGGGTTGTTACCGACATCTGGTGAAAATTTCATGTCATTAGCACCTCTAGTTATATATTTACTGAGAAAAACGGTGACGTGTTCAATACTTATTTTACCCGCTGTACACTAACACACTCCAACATTATGTATGTTTTATAGGTCCAACTTGCTTCATTTTTCAGTTCTGGTGTTAGAATTTGTTTGGTTTGAACATAATAAAGAAGACGAATCACTGTTTTGATTTACAGTTCGGTTGCTATTCTACATATCAAAACACCTTCCTAAAAAGACACCCAGATAGTCATAATTGAAGCAATAACCAACTAAATGTCAAAACATCCCACTGAAAAATTTATCATTTGTATCTGTTGAATATCTAAATACAGAAACGTGTGGAAAAGCCAAAGAGAAAGAAATTTTTCATCATATTACTTGAACGACTGAATGTTTTTGCTTGATTTTTCCATAAGCTAATAAAACAAACCACTGAACCGGCAAGACAGACAAACAGGTGTTTGATGACACTTCTTCTCATTTGTTGATGCCAGCTTGTCTGCCGCCACTCAAGATTTCATTGCATGAGTCAAAAGCAGACTCGGGCGGTTTGTCAAAAAAAAAAAAACACCTGTTTATATCCCGAGTGTCATTTTGCTTCGTGTACCATGCATCCGAAGGGCAAAACTCAACTTTTACATAAACATACCTCTGATTTATTCGCCGTTCGTCTTCACTCCCAAAATCCTGTAAAACAGATAAAGTGTAATTAGTAACACCGTACTGGCGAGAAAAAATCTGAATGCACTATGAATAAACGCTCTTAGGCTGGCAGATAACAGAAGCTACAGCCGTTTTTAAACACAAGTCATAAAAACGGATAAATAAACATCACAAGGAAACTGTGGAGGAGCTACGATGAATTAGTTTATAAAGGTATGTTTCATGTTCTACAAAAATTTATGATATATCTCCTTCAAATTACAAGGGTAAAAAAAATGAGATAGAAAATAAAATGTTGCTTGGCCTCTTAATGCCACAGTTAAGTACCACTGCTGCAACTCCTATAACTAAATGATCTGTGCCAAAGCGCTACAGTCACGTTATAACAGCAATACCCAACTTGACATATTTGTACTTTTTTAAGCTGAATGAGATAAGCTGTTGACATTAGTACGAATGAGCTCATTTTGTTTCAACACAAGGGATTGTTGGTTTAAGAGCAGTATAGTTTGACATAGGTGTCGAGAGAAATATGTACAGTTATGTCCAATCGAGATAAACTTATCCTGACATCTGTTAAACATGATGCTGCGAGCACATTCCAGTGTTGGTATGAAAAATACAGGTGTGTTTTTACTTCATGTAACAGCAGATGCAGCAGCAAAAAAAAAAAAAAAAAAAAAAATTCCAGGATTTTCTTAAAACTTTCAATTCAATTCTTTTTTCAAAAAAATCTAGATGCACGTCCAACTTACTGAGTGTGGAAACATTTGATTTACTCAAATAAAATAAAGTACTTCTGCATCTGCAAAAAATGTGGAGGTGGTGACTTAAGGTAAGATACTTAAATAATACCTGACACGATTACAAAATTAGAGGATGTCACGAGAAGTGGCACTAGAAACAAGCGAATTACTCAGCAGGAAAAAAAACAAGTCCAGAAATGCCATTTCTAGAACTGACTGACAAAGATTAAACATGGCCAGAAAACAATGCAATTCTTGGTGCCTTTTTATAATGTAGTAAAATAATCCTGCCTCGTGCCTGCATCCTCGACATGCCTGTTTACTTAAGCTCTTTTTTCCCTTCACTCCAGTACAACACTTTCCCTCCCGCCTTCCCTTCCCACCCCTCAGGAGCAGATGACATCATAGCTGCAGCAGACTTCAGTCAGCTTTTCCTATCAAACCTGGACACAAAATTCAACCTACAGTAACGTTCCAGGGATAAAACAAAACAATCCTCCTTAACAAGATGTGATCTGTTTACAATAAGTAACTATGTTATATTTGACTGTAACAAACACTTGAAGTTAAAAATCAAGCCCTTTGCAACGGCTCTAACACAAACATTTGCAACGCTGTAATCACATTTACAAATAAAATTAAGCAGATACAAATGCAGACATCAATTCTGATTTATCTGGTTGTATGCAAAACAGAACAGGGGGAGCTCATCTGTTTGCAGCTGGTGAGTAGTGCCCCCATCTGGTGACTGTATGCTGGGAAATAGTCAAACTTATTATGACTATATGTRGTAAATACTATCACTTATTGTTCATGTCAGTGACTACAATAAAATGTATTTAAACTGTGCCTCTCCACCACTGCAGCCAATTAGGATCAATCCATGTATTTTYATCCCCTTATAAATGTTTGTCAGTCAGGCAATAAATTAAATTTTTAGAACAGGACCAGCAGACAATTATGCTAATGGCAACTAACACTTAGATATTATGTTAATAAATAGAACTGTGTTTATCTTTATATATTTGTTGGTGATTTTACAGATAAATTGAGCTGCAAGAACAACAAAACAAACTATCCTGCAAATAAAATCGTATTTTTCCATACTAAACCGGGTAAACAACATCCTGTCGTCGTTTTGGTAAACAAGAGGGATGTAAAGAAATCCCTCAGGGTCAGATAGTCTCATAATAAACAGCTAAATTTGTTAGCTACAGCTTGCATCAGTCACAAGACACTTAAAAGTAAGCTAACGCCAACCTTAAAAAAATCATTTAACACACTTGCTGTTTTTAATAGTTTTATATATATTTACATGCTCATACAGTATATGTAAGTTATAATAATAAATAGGCAGCATTTGAGAAATGTCATTAGCTAACAACCAAACCTAGCATAACGGTGCTAATAATTTAGCTTCAATCAGCGGGCCTCCCTCCCTCCGGCAGCATCCCCTTCCTCATGCTCACCACTACCAGACACAGGTCAGGAGCATCTCTGACTCCCCCCAAGGTGTCACACTGACCTCCCCCGCGGTCGTGGTAGCCGTGCTGGCTGTGGAAGCGGCACTCGGGGTCGGGGACCGCTGCAGTGTTACCAACGCCATGGCTGAAAGAGGAAGAAGCCGGGGAGCCGGGGATGATGCACCAAACGCCGGTCGCTGTGGCCTGGGGAGCTGCAGCTAGCTGCTGAGCTAACCACACTTAGCCCTGCACACAAACTGGAGGCTGAGCGGCAGAGAGACACCGTGTTGTTATTCAGCAGGATGGACTGAGGAAGTGCTGCCTTCAAGGCCCCATCCCTCCCTGACGGTCATAAACTTAGTAACACAGTAACTAACCCATAAACCGCACTGACACCATTATAAATTAATGTGTAGTCCGCATTAGTTTGCTTCAAGGTCAAAAAGTAAGGAACTGTTTATGCAAATGCACATGATGGGTATAGGCTGAGTTAGAAAATGTAGAGGAAAAAGAGCTGAAGKAATCTGGAGATGGTTCAGAGGACATGTGGTGCTTTGGTTTGTGTTATTTGTTTRTTTATTTGTTTGTTTATTTATCTGATGTCATGTTATGCTTACTCTTGTAAGTTTCACATCTGTTGGCACAACCTACAACTTTATTTTTGGTCACGTTCGTTTGATAATCCCGTTTTGATCCAGCAATGTTTATATCTATTAGCAACAATACACTAATGTTTTTTTGTTTGTTTGTTTGTTTGTTTTTTTTTTTTGGGGGGGGGGGTCTCTGTATGTTAATTGTAATTTAACTTCTGTATACTCTGTGCTACTTTTACCACTATGAGTCAAAATGTTCAGCTCACTTAATAGGTGCTATAAAGTTTTAATTTTTGAAATTGACATTCTTATTAATATTACTACTTGATCTACTTTTGTCTGCTTGAACTACTTTTAGCTTTTGTKCTGCAACATTTAGCTTTTAGCTTGCATTTWGCTATTTTTAGCTTTAAGCTAGCCATTTGTTACTTTTATCTTTTAACTAACTTTTTTGCTGCTTTTAGCAGGCGTTTTGCATTTTTAGCTAGTGTTCTACGTCTTTTCGCTGTTACAACTAATTTTCACCTTCTGATTTCAGCAGTCATTCCACACACATTGCATTTCTCCATTTAGTGTTTGCTTTTTAAATTAAATTTGAATACTTTTAACTTGTTTTTTTATTTGCTGTTTAGCTTGTAAATAAAACTTTTCTTCTTAAAATTATGTCATTTTTATTAGACCAGGTTAAACTCCAGTTACTGTGACTGAAGTTTGCTGTATCAGCACCTTTTCCCTTTCTCGTTTTCCCACAGGCATCCACTCATCATCAGTGGCTAGTTTCAACTTTGTGATTTGTCTGACCCCCCACCTTCCTGTCCTGTGTTTAGGCTTATCTTCACCATATAGTACGACCGGAGTACATCTAATCTAAGGTTTACCAAACAGATCTGCCAAACTACAAGAAAAATGCAATTCAGTAATATGATTTGAAAAAAAATGTGTGATGAAAATTTTTATTGTTGCAGAATTTGAGGTATAATTTAGGCTGTGATCTTCTTATCACAGTTTATTGCTGCAGCTGCAGCAGTGTCAGTGTTGCATCAGTTTACAGGCCATTGCCTTAGACGATCACTGTRTAAGCCTCTGCGTTGTGTCTGCTTATAGCTGCTGTCCAAGTTTGCTATAAATCTCACTTTCAACAGTGTTAGCTCAACCACATTTACTTGTTTATCTATTCCTCTATTTTCTTTACCGCTTTTCTTTTCTGGGTCGCTGGCAGCTAGTGCCTATTTCCAGCAGTCACTGTGCAAGAGACGAAGTATACCTTGGACAGGTCGCAAGTCCATCACTAGGCACACAGAAAACACTTMTCACTCACAGCTAGGGACAATTTAGAGTTACCAATTAACCTAACATGAATGTCCTGATGCATCTCAGTAATCCAGGTAAAAAATCAAAAGAAAAAAATTGTATAGGTCTTCTGGACGRGTTCTTCTTTAATGAAACGTTTYGTCTCTCCTCCAAGAGACTTCTTCAGTCTGAGAATGAATGTTTTTGGTCTGTGGGAGGAAACTGGAGAAAACCCACTGGTGCATGGTGAGAACATGTAAACAACAACCAAGAAGGCCCAAGGCCAGGTGGGCTTTCTTGCTGAGAGGCGACAGCTCTATTCACTGCATCACCGTGCTGCCTCTTGTTTGTATAACCTTAAAATACAGCACATCTGCATATTATTATTATTTTACTTATTTTGAATGTTTTTAACATGGAGCCCTGTCAAAGACGATTTTCTGTCACCTTTGGGACAGACAATAAAGCTTATCTATCTATCTATCTATCTA